TGGTGCTGGATGGCAGCCAAAGAGAACAATGTACAAGAGAGGTGGCAGAAGGAGCTGACCAGGAAAGAAGTCCAAAGCTACAAGAGGTCAGCCTCGTTTTGCAAGTAAGTGAATTTCTCCCCAGTGTCCACAGGCTCTTCATTAGGAGCTTTGAAGCAGAGTACTCATTTGGGCTTCTTTCCCAATGCAAAGAATTGTTTGCCCTGGTAGCTCCTGGGTTCTGCCTTGGTTGCTGCTGGGAGTGAGGAGGCAGAGCCGCCTCTCTGAGTAAGGCTGGGCCCTTGAAAGTGGGTGGGTGCAATTTTGTGCTGGGCAGAGCTCTCTTTTTCTTGTGGTGGTTGAAGGTGCACTGTCTCCTTCAGGCACAGGCAGCCCACCAGGCCCCACTAGGACAAACTGGAGACATTCATTGTGAATCCATGAGAATCCAGTTGGAAGAAACGCTTCTAACTTGGAACGTGCATTTGCTTCTGGTCACACCACACCCAACCCAGAGATGCTTCTTTTCCGGCCCCCCCCCACCGGGCGACCGTTGGTGTACAACGCCGCTTTATCTGGCGGAGTGGAAACCCCCGCCAGCTTCCTTGCCCAGCCCCTTGCCCTTCCGTCCCTTGCTTGTTTGGAGTGGTAATAAGAGACTCCTTTTTCTTCCTGCATTTTCCTTGGAAATCCATCTTCTACATCTGGCCAGCATTATTGCCCTCCATTGGCCAACAGGGTCTGATGGAGTTGCCAAGACACTGTCCTTGATATTTGAAAAGTCGTGGCAATCAGGGGAAGTCCCAGGTGAGGGGAAAAAGGGAAACCCACTGTGCCCATCTTTGAAAGGGGTAGAAAGGAGGGCCCTGGGAACTGCCAAGCTGTCAGCCTGCCCTCTGTGCCTGGGAAGGTGACGGAAAAGATCCTTCTAGAAGCTCTGTCAAGGCACGTGGATGACAGGGAGGTGATTGGAAGCACCAGCACAGCTTCGCCAAGGGCAAGTGCTGCTTGACCGACCTGGTGGCCTTCTAGGATGGAGTGACTGCCTCAGTGGACAAGGGCTACCCATGTCATCTCCCTGTCATTCTGGAAAGCCTTTGACACAGTCCCCCACAACATCCTTCTCTCCAAAGTGGAGAGAGATGGATTGGATGCGTGGACTGTTAGATGGATAAGAAATTAGGTGAACAGTCCCATGCAGAGGTGGTGATCAATGGCTCAGAGTGCTGAGGGCCATCAGTGCCGAGTGGTGTCCCTCAGGGGTCTGGATTGGGCCCAGTGTTCTTTAATCTCTTCACTAATGATCCAGAGGAAGGGCTGGAGTGCGCCCTCAGCAAATTTGCAGCTGACACCAAGCTGAGGGGTGTGGTTGACACAGCTGATGCCACCCAGAGGGCCCTGGACCAGCTGGAGAAGTGGGCCCATGGCAATCTGCTGATGGTTTAACCAGAGCCAGTGCAAGCTGCTGGCCGTGGCTCAGGGCAGCCCCTGTATCAGTGCAGGCTGGGGGATGAAGAGGGGCAGAGCAGCCCTGCCGAGAAGCCCTTGGGCTGGAGGAGAGGCCGGACATGAGCCGGCGATGTGCGCTCGCAGCCCAGAGAGCCAATTGTGTCCTGGCTGCGTCCAAGGCAGCGTGGCCAGCGGGTGGAGGGAGGGCATTCTGCCTCTCTGCTCTGCCCTTGGGAGAGCCCAGCTGGAGGGCTGCATCCAGCTCTGGGCTCCTCAGCACAGCAAGGACCTCCAGCTGTTGGACTGAGTCCAGAGGAGGCCACCAAGGTGCTTGGAAAGATGGAGCACCTCTGCTAGGAGGAAAGGCTGGGACAATTGCAACCCTTCAGCCTGGAAAAGAGAAGGCTTTGGGGTGACCTAATTGTGGCCTTTTGGGGTGTGAAGGGAGCCCACAAGAAGGATGAAGAGAGTGCATTTAAAAGAGCAGGTAGTGAGAGGACAAGGGGGAATGGCTTCAAACGGAAAGAGAGTAGGTTTAGATTTGATCCTCGGAAGAAATTGGTTGCTGTGAGGGTGGTGAGAAATTGCAACAGGTTGCCCAGAGAAGCTGTGGATGCCCCATGGCTGGAAGTGTTCAAGGCCAGGTTGGATGGGGTTGTGAACAAGCTGGTCTGGTGGAAGGTGTCCCTGTCCAGAGCAGGAGGCTTGGAACTGGATGATCTTTAATGTCCCTGCCAAGCCAAGCCATTCTAGGCTTGGATGCTGTCTGTGCTGTTTCTGTGAGACTGTGGGGGAAAGGCTGGTTCTTCCTGTGTTCCATGGTTTTCTTCACTAATTTGCTGTGCAGGCTGGAAAAGCTTCTGAGGATAGAGAGGAGGAAACTCCGGGTTAATGAAGAGAAAGGAAGTCAGTCCCAGCTGGAAGAAATGAAGAAGAGATATTCTGAAAAGGTCAAGGAAGTTGATAGATTCCAAAGAGAGGTGAGCTGCTCTCTGGGTGGGGCTCTTTGGTTGTGGTGTTCCTTCTTTTGAAAGCTGGGAGATGCTTTCCCTCTATTTCTTGTCACGTGGATGTTTTTATTCCCTTGGCTGCATTTTGGATGTGATGGGCTTTTCTTAATGCTCCTCCTGCTGTTCCAGTGGGAGATGACTCGAACTAATCCGGAGGTAGTTCTCCTTCTGGGGAAAGATGCAAATGTTAAGGGCAAAGCAGTAGGTGTAAGGGCTGATGGAGGCCAGGCTGTCCTGCAGAGGAGGGGCAAGCCAGGAGTGGCAGCCAGCCTGTCAGGGTGCGTGAGCTCCCGGGCCAGGGAGCCGTCCCACAGGCCCTGAGCAAGAAGAGCAGAACAGGTCCTGTGAGAGTGAGCGGGGTCAGCCAAGAGTGCAGATCCCCCGGCTGGGCCTGAGGGATGGGCAGGTCTGCCGTCCTGGCAGGACATCACGTCCATGGGCTGAGAGCAGTGGGGCCCAGCTCAGGCCTGGCTGCAGCTGGAGGGAGGCTGTGACAGCGTCCTCTGGGTGTGCCAGATGAATTGCTGCCCTGGCAGAGAGGGGAGGAACAGCGCTGTCACTGGCAGGGCACCATCAGCCCCTGAGCCCTGTCTCAGGCACGAGCTGAGCAGGAGGCCCTTGAGGGTTGGCTTTTCTCCACAGTGTTGTTGCTGCCCAGGGCCCAAGGAGGACAGGGGCCTCCCAGGGGAAAATCTGTCCCTTCTTGCTCACGGGGAGCTGTTTCAGCCCATCCTGTGGCGGGGAGCCTGAAGGGCTGTTCCCAGCAGTGCTTTTGAGGCTGCTCTACCTGTGCAGCAGTGGCACAGAAACTCTCATCCCTTCTCCGCTCGTCACTCGGATCCGTTGCTAAAGCGGCGTCTGTCAGAGCCACGCTTGGGTTTGAAGGCATCCCTGTAGAATGGCTTCCTGCCTTTGCAGTGATTCCTTTGGAGTCCAGAAGCTTGGAGCATTTTTGCATGAGGAACTCCAAAAGGCTGGGAAGCTGAGGAATCCTATGGCAAATGATGGGAAAGCTGTTCTTGCTGGAAAAGAAAAGCCTGGTTGCACTTTGTGTCTAGTCCTGAGCCAGCAGATGATGAATAAAGTCTCCCTGGGCGGCCAGTTTTGGGGTTTTCCCAGAATTCACTGCATTTACACCACACTCAGTTCCTTTTTTGTTCTTTCTGTCTGCAGGTTGCTGAACTTTCCCAGCAGTTGGACAGGGAACGTGAACAGTGCACGCAGCTGGAGGCCAAAAATCAGGCTTTGCAAGAAGAGCTGTCTGCCCTGCGTGGGGAGTGCGAGAACCTGGCCCTGGACAAATGCCAGCTGCAAGAAGAGCTGGCAAAACTCCACCATCATTTGGAGACCAACGTGGTGGATCGCAGCCAACTCGAACAGTGTAAAAGAGAGGTGGAAGAACGAGCAGACCAGGAAATAAGACAAAAACTCCAGGAAGTCAATGAGTTTTTGCAAGTAAGTGAATTTCTCCCCAGTGTCCACAGGTGCTACGTAAACTTCTCTTGTGGCCATGGTGTTTGGTCTTTTTCTTTTGCTCCTGTATTCTGTGGGTTAGCTTCTGTCTTTGCTGAAGGCAGTGGCAGAAGGCAATCTGGTTGGGCAGGAGTGCTGTCATGGGTGTGGAATGTGGTGGCAGGTCCCTGAATGCAAAGGCTGCCCAAGGCAGATTCCCACTTTGCAGTGCTTGGGGGGATCTCTGTGCGCTGCTCTGCTTCTCACTGCTCATCCTTGAATGGGTTTGGCAACTTGCAGCTGTCATGGCCAGACCTACAGGTGCTGCTTTGTCCTTGGAGGGGGTGAAAGTGCTCAGAAAAGGAGTCACTGAAATTCCAGGGATGGGAGGGAGGGGCTGGAGGTGGATGGAAGCTCTTCTTGTCTTTGAAGAATCCTTTTGGACATGCCCTGTCCTACAGACCCAGTGTCTCTTCATTAGTAGCTTTGAAGCAGAGTGCTCATTTGGGCTTCTTTCCCAATGCAAAGAATTGTTTGCCCTGGCAGCTCCTGGGTTGTGCCTTGGTTGCTGCTGGGAGTGAGGAGGCAGAACCGCCTCTCTGAGTCAGGCTGGGCCCTTGAAAGTGGGTGTGTGCAATTTTGTGCTGGGCAGAGCTCTCTTTTTCTTGTGGTGGTTGAAGGTGCACTGTCTCCTTCAGGCACAGGCAGCCCACCAGGACACCTTAGAAGAAATCAGAAGCAGTCGTGGACTCACTGAAAAAACAGTTAGAAGACAGAATTAGAGATCTGGAACGTGCACTGGGAAGGACAAAAAGCAACCAAGCAGAAAGACCTTTTCAAAAGGAATCCACCCAGGCAGAAGTGGACAAGTACAAAGAGCTGTATCTGGTGGAAGCCCAAAGAAGAAAAAGCCTCACCAAGAAACTGGAAAGGTAAGTCCCTGCTTTTTTGGACTGGTAAGAACAGATTCCTTTTTCCTCCTGCATTTTCCTTGGAAATCCCTTTTCTGCATCTGGCCAGCATCAGGTGTGACAGCAGAACGTGGCATCTTTGTGGGGAAAGTTCCTTCAGAGCCTTCCCTTCCTCAGACCTGTCTTCCTTTCTCTTTAGAGTTCCAGCAGTAACCCCACAGCAGCACCACTCTGGCATTATTGGTGTCTTTTCAAGTTGAGGTTGTTTTAGCAGGCAGTCTTTTTGCCAGTCTCAACTCTCCTCATGCTGTGGGTGACAGAGAAGATGAATCTTGTGCCCTTTCCTGTTTGAATAAGGAGAGGCCTCTGGGAGAAAAGAGTTGGATTCTGTGAATCCAAAATAAGGCGGCTCTTTCTTGGCTTCTGTTTTGGCAGCGGGTCTGAGGGTTGAGCTTTCCTTGAGAAGGCCAGGGTGGCCCAGAGTTCTTCTGGAGGTGACACTGGCTGCTCCTTGCACTTGGTGTGATTTCTTAGAAACAGGCCCTGTGAACAAGCTCAGATCAAAGGATGTGCTGGGTTTGGACGCTCTTCATGCCCTTGGCTTTTAGAAGTCGAGTAGTAACCAAGGCTGTGGAGGGTAACTTTGCGAAAGCCTTCCTGCCAAAGATGACTCTGTGTGTGCTTGTGAATGTTTCAGAGCTACTGAGAGACTTGCAGAGGCCAACACCAAGCTCTTTTTGGAGCGCCACAGAAGCAGATCTGCGGTCCCAAGCAGCGCTGTCAGCGGACTTCTGGCTGCAAGTCCACTTCTGGATTCACCTGGCCTGGGACATCTTGGCCTCAGTTTGGGACTGAGCAGAAGTCTGGCTCTCAGAACACCACCCAGACACCTGTGGTAAAGCCCAAGACTTCTGCTCATCAGGTTGGTACAGATTTTCCAGAGTGGTCAAAGGCCCAAAAAGGTTGAAATGGAAGCAATGAGCTGTGGAACTCCATTCTTTTCCAAGAGAAACTGTGGGCAAGAGCTCTGTGGCACAGGAACCTCCCACCTAAGTTCTACCCTAAATTTACACGTAGTAATCTTCTGTAGTCTGTGGGGTTTGGCAGGAAGCCAACTCCAACCGGCTACAGATGGTTTTGGTGTCAGAAGTGGGATTGTTTTGGTTCCTTTGATTTTGTTGTGGGAACGTTGTCTGGGAAAGCTGCCAAGAGCAGGTTTGTTTTGTCAACATCCACCATTGTTTTGGGACACTCCCGGGAGAGCTGCCAAGAAGGATTTTGTTTATCTAAACATAGCTTTGTTTAGGAAGAAGGAGAAAGAAAAATAATAACAATGGCCTTTTTACTAATTTTTTTCCTGATTCTTGCTGGTTTTGTGCCTATCCTAGGACATCCTGTGAGGGACCGTTCAGATGGATGGAACAAATTGCTTCCTTTCCTTAATTTCGACACCCATGGCCTAGTAGCCAATTTCCTTAATGGTGGCCTTCAAGGTTTGGTAGCAAAGACTCCAAGATCAGCTCTAACCCATCCCTACATTGCTCAGCGACAATGATCCTAGTGGTGAAGGCAGCGAAAATGCTACTTAAAATTGGAGAGGTGGTGCTGCATTGGTCCCCTTGTTGTACGAAAGGAATCGCTGGAGCTTTGGGGACAAGAAGTGCCAACGGCCACGACAACTGTACACAGGCAACAGTATCGGACGAACCGAGATGCTGTGACCCCCATCCATAAGATGATCTGGAAGTTGGAGAGCCAAGGGGTGGTCAGCAGAACACACTCACCCTTCAACAGCCCCGTCTGGCCTGTAAGTCCGATGGAGAGTGGAGACTGACTGTGGACTATTGTGGCTTAAATGAAGTCACGCCGCCATTGAGTGCCGCTGTGCCAGACATGTTGGAGCTCCAGGACGAGCTGGAGTCCAAAACAGCAAAGTGGTACGTCACCATCGACATTGCCAACGCGTTTTTCTCCATTCCCTCAGCAGCAGAGTGCAGGCCACAGTTTGCTTTCACCTGGAGGGGCGTTCAGTACACCTGGAATCGACTGCCCCAGTGTGGAAGCACAGTCCAACCATCTGCCATGGACTGATTCAGGCCACACTAGAGAAGGATGAGGCTCTAGAACACATCCAGTACATCGATGACATCATTGTGTGGGGGGACACAGCAGAAGAAGTTTTCGAGAAAGGACAGAAGATCATCCAGATTCTCCTCAGGGCTGGTTTTGCCATCAAGAAGAGTAAGGTCAAGGGCCCTGCCCAAGAGATCCAGTTCCTAGGGCTGAAATGGCAAATGGACGACACCAGATACCAACAGATGTCCTCAACAAGATTGTAGCAATGGCTCCACCCACAAACAAGAAAGAAACCCAAGCTTTTCTGGGAGCCATTGGCTTCTGGAGGATGCACATCCCAGAGTACAGCCAGATGGTGAGCCCTCTTTACTTTGTGACCCTGATATGGTTTGAAGCTGGCTCCCCGCCAAGTCTCCAAACCTTACCACCAGAAGTTCCCCCCCCCCCCCAAAACCAACCTCAGGGAGAAGAGGGAGGAAAAAAAAACTAAGAAAAAAAACCCGAAACGAGAGAGAGACAACCAAAGTGAGATATATAAATATATTTACACTTATATACAATTTCACAAGGGAAAGGGAAGAAGGAAAAGGAAAGGGAACAAAACTAAGATAAAATATATAGATATCCCAAGACCCAATATCTAACAACTAAAAAGTTAGCAAAGAAAAATAGCTCACTACTCCCTTGGGACAACTGAGAGTCGCTCCGGAACGATCGCCGGCAACCTCCGTCTCCCAAGGTCGACAAGGCCCAACCAGGCCTCGCTCCCCAACACGGCAGACTCAACAGCAGGGGACCTGCACCTCCAAGCCGCCGGAAGGAAAGAGAGCGAAGGCCTCTCCTCCTCTCTTCTTATAATCTGGCTTACGTAAAAATCGTAGGGAATACTGGGTAAATCTGGACCCTTCCTTGGCTACAAACTGGTCACCAAGGAAGGCCTAGCCCAAACCACCACATTCTCCACCCCTTATTCCATACTATTTTTACGCAACACCTATATCTCACGTTCGCCTACGTCCCGCGCATATATATACACATATACATATATATATATAGTTCTTGTTGGTCTCTTGGCGCAGTTGTCTCATCACTGGAAATCAATACCGATGTCAGTTCAGTTCAGTCCTAATCTCTGGTCTCCTCAGTCACAACTACAGTTCTGATTTATGGCTGTTTCATCATTCTGGGCTGTCTCATCACTGGATACCAGCATCAGCTTAATTCAGGTCTCTTTCTCTCTCTCTCTCTCTCTTCTGGTGACTGACTTCCTGTAAAAACATAACTCAGGACATACAATTAGTTCTTCCCCAAGGCTAAATTTCCTTGAGGCACACATTGGATCTCTCCGTCCTTTCTCATTATCCACCACGTATGTCCTGGCCCTTGAGCAAAGACAATCCCACGAATGGGTTTGTCTTGGCCTGAGGCAGGGGTAACCCAAACAGCTTTCCCTAGCATTCCCCTCAAATGGATTGCTGGAACTTTATCTCCATCAACAATATGAAGGGATTCTGCTTGTGCAGGGCCAGCTCGATTGACAGAACCCCTGGTGTTAACTAGCCAGGTAGCCTTGGCTAAGTTCTTATCCCAGTTTTTATAAGTTCCCTCGCCTAGTGACTTTAGAGTTGTCTTCAACAGTCCGTTATATCTTTCAACTTTCCCAGCAGCTGGTGCATGATAGGGAATGTGGTACACCCATTCGATGCCATGTTCTCTCGCCCAATTGGTGACTAATTCATTTTTGAAATGAGTCCCGTTGTCCGACTCAATGCGTTCTGGGGTCCCGTGTCTCCACAGGACTTGCTTTTCAAGGCCCAAAATGGTATTCCGGGCCGTTGCGTGGGGCACTGAAAAAGTCTCTAGCCATCCGGTGGTTGCTTCCACCATGGTAAGTACATAGCACTTACCTTGACAGGTCTGTGGCAGTTTGATATAATCAACTTGCCATGCTTCTCCATACTTATACTTATCCCATCGTCCACCATACCACAGGGGCTTCAGTCTTTTCGCCTGCTTAATAGCGGCACAAGTCTCACAATCATGGATAACTTCAGAAATGATATCCATGGTTAAATCCACCCCTCGGTCTCGTGCCCATCTGTGGGTGGCATCTCGGCCCTGATGACCGGAAGCATCATGGGCCCATCGAGCTAAGAACAACTCTCCCTTCTGCTGCCAGTCTAGGTCTACTTGTGACACTCTTATCTGTGCAGCTCGGTCTGCTTCTCTGTTGTTATCGTGTTCTTCATTAGCTCGCTTCTTGGACACATGGGCATCTACATGGTGGACTCTCACATTCAGACCCTTCGCTCTGGCAGCGATGTCCTGCCACAAGTCAGCAGCCCAGATGGGTTTTCCTCCACGCCTCCAGTTCATCTTCTCCCATCGGTCTAACCATCCCCATAGGGCATTGGCTATCATCCACGAGTCTGTGTAGAGGTAGAGCCTTGGCCATCCTTCTCGTTCAGCAATGTCCAGGGCCAGTTGGACGGCTTTGAGCTCTGCAAATTGACTTGACTCGCCTTGACCTTCAGCAGCTTCTGCCACTCGTCGGGTGGGACTCCAAACGGCTGCTTTCCACTTCCGGTTCCTTCCTACAATACGGCAGGAACCATCAGTGAAAAGGGCATAACGCCTTTCTTCATCTGGCAGCTGATCAAATGGCGGAGCTTCTTCAGCTCGGCTCACTGGCTCTTCTTCTTCTTCTTCTGCCAGACTGAAGTTCCCACCTTCAGGCCAATTTGTGATAACCTCCAGAATTCCAGGGCGATTTGAGCTTCCCAATCGTACACGCTGCGTAATCAAGGCTATCCACTTGCTCCACGTAGCATCGGTGGCATGATGCGTAGGGGGCACCTTCCCTTTGAACATCCAATTCAGGACTGGTAGTCGGGGTGCTAGGAGGAGCTGTGTTTCAGTGCCAATCACTTCTGAGGCTGCTTGTATGCCTTCATAGGCCGCCAGAATTTCCTTTTCCACAGGAGTGTAGTTGGCTTCAGAACCCCTGTAGCTTCGGCTCCAGAAGCCAAGTGGTCGCCCTCGCGTCTCACCAGGCACCTTTTGCCAGAGGCTCCAGGAGGGACCTTTATCTCCAGCTGTAGTGTAAAGTACGTTCTTCACGTCTGGTCCCGTTCGAACTGGTCCAAGAGCCACGGCATGTGCAATCTCTTGTTTGATCTGTTTGAATGCCTGTTGCTGTTCGGGACCCCATTGAAAGGTATTCCTTTTACGGGTCACAAAGTGAAGAGGGCTCACAATCTGGCTATACCCAGGGATGTGCATTCTCCAGAAGCCTATGGCCCCCAGGAAAGCTTGTGTCTCCTTCTTGTTGGTGGGTGGAGCCATGGCTACAATCTTATTGATGACATCTGTTGGTATCTGACGTCGTCCATCTTGCCACTTCACCCCTAGGAATTGGATCTCTCTGGCGGGTCCCTTGACCTTATTCTTCTTAATGGCGAAACCGGCATCAAGGAGAATCTGGATGATTTCCTCTCCTTTCTCAAAAACTTCTTCCGCTGTGTCCCCCCATACAATAATGTCATCAATGTACTGGATATGTTCTGGGGCCTTGCCCTTCTCCAGTGTGGCCTGAATCAGTCCATGGCAGATTGTTGGACTGTGCTTCCACCCCTGGGGCAGTCGGTTCCACGTGTATTGCACACCTCTCCACGTGAAAGCAAACTGCGGCCTGCACTCTGCTGCTAAGGGAATGGAGAAAAATGCATTGGCGATGTCGATGGTGGCGTACCACTTTGCTGTCTTGGACTCCAGCTCGTATTGGAGCTCCAACATGTCTGGTACAGCAGCACTCAATGGTGGCGTGACTTCATTCAAGCCACGATAGTCCACCGTCAGTCTCCATTCGCCATCGGACTTGCGTACAGGCCAAATGGGGCTATTGAAGGGTGAGTGTGTTCTACTAACCACCCCTTGACTTTCCAGCTTGTGAATCATCTTATGGATGGGGATCACAGCATCTCGATTCGTCCGGTACTGTCGCCTATGCACTGTCTTAGTGGCTGTTGGCACTCGCTGGTCCTCGACTCGCAGTAGTCCCACAACAGAAGGATCTTCTTAGAGGCCAGGCAGGGCAGATAATCGTTTGGATTCCTCTTCAGTTACCGCGGCTATACCAAAAGCCCATCGGTACCCCTTCGGGTCTTTGAAGTATCCTCTCCTGAGGTAATCCATGCCAAGAATGCAAGGGGCTTCCGGCCCTGTCACAATGGAATGTTTTTCCCATTGGTCTCCTGTCAGGCTTATTTCGGCCTCTACCACCGACAGCTCTTGAGATCCTCCTGTCACCCCAGAAATTGAAACAGTCTCTGTACTCACATGTCCTGAGGGCATTAATGTACACTGTGCGCCGGTATCTATTAACGCTTGGTATCTCTGAGGATCCGATGTGCCAGGCCACCGAACCCACACAGTCCAGTAAACTCTATTATCTTTCTCGTCCCTCTCCTTCTCCTGGCAGAAGGCAGGGCCCCTCTATTGGCTCTGGTCGGAGCATTCACCGTCGGATCTTTGCTTTGGCTTGTCAGAGGCTTTCCTCTCATCCTGGAAATGGACTCCAGCCCCTCTGCGTCTGGGAGATCTCAGTTCTTTTTCAAAGAAATCTGCATCTACTACGTAGACAACTTTCTTATCGCTTTCCTTGCGTTTTAGTTCCCTCACTCTGGCCTCAAGTCTGGAAGTAGGTTCACCATCCCACTTCTTCATGTTTTCTCCATGGGCGCACAGATAGGACCACAGTTCATTGCGCTTAGATTTACGCTTAGGGTTTTTGCTCCTTCTGCGTGTGACGGAAGGAGATCGTGAGCGGGACCGGGACCAAGATCGAGATCGTGGTCGAGACCGGTCTGCTGATCTATCTCTGTAGCGTTTGTCCTTGTGGTCTCCGTAGTCATCTTCATAATCAGAGCGCCCGTAAGGCTCATCTATCTCAGGTCTTCGTCTGTAACTAGAATCAGAATAGTCTCTAGAAAACTCATTCCTAGATTCTACCGTTTCTTTTAGATGTCGCAGAACTGTACACAACATGCTCACAGGAGTTTCTGGCATGTTTGGAAGCATTACTCCTGCCAAGATATGGACATATGACGCAGGAGCACCCTGGATTATCTTCTTCCACATGGGCATTGTGCAAGTGGTAACCTCTGGGTCATCAGCGACGGGATCATATTGAGGGTCCTCATACATAAGTTCCAGCAATGCCAATTCTCTTAGGTACTGGATGGCGTCTTCTATCTTGGTCCACTTCCTCACGGGGCATGGTATATAGTCTTTAAATGGAAACCTTTGTTTCACACTTAAGACAAGTCGTGCCCAAAGACTGAGGTCAGGTTTCTCCTCTGCAAATAAACGATCAAGTTCACGATCTCCAGAGATGGAAGCTAGTTGTTCTGCTTCAGCAGTTGACAATAGGTGACCTCTAGCCCCACGGTCTCGGCATCGGAGCAACCACGATAGAATTCGCTCACCAGGCCGACGAGTGTAATCTTTCTGTAAGTCCCGGAGTTCTGATGGGGTCATTGACCGCAACTCTGTAGTTTCCATTTTTGGGGGTGGTGCTGCTCGTGGAGGTGGAGTTCTAGCACTAGCATCAGTATCAGTCCCCTCTCCGTTATCTTCTGACCTGTTTAGGCTTCCATCTGGTCGTAGGCTTAAAGTTTCGGGCGATGGTACCCACGACTTCCTTTTCACTACAGGGGCGAGGGGTATCTCAGGTGGTGTAGTCTGGGTTCCGCTTTCCGTGCATGTAGTAGAGGTGGTATTGGTCTCAGGTGTCAGGGTTTGAGTTTCCGCCTCAGCCTTAGTCTTCCGAGCATAGTCCACAGCAGCTCGATAGGCACTCGCCAAGCCCCAGTACAAAGCAAAAAACTGCATATTTGGGTCCTCATAAGAAAAACACCCTTCTGCCAGACGACGTGCCACCTCATCAGGATCAAACACCTGCTCTGGTGTGAAATCCCAGCTAATGGGAGGTGTCACGCGCCCTACCAATTTACCAAAGTTGGCCCAGATTCCTTGCCATCCAGGGACTGGTTTTCTCAAGGCCCTTCCCAAAGTTCCAGCAAATCCCTTTGAGTTTTGGCGTTTCCTGCAACAAGAAAAGCAGTACCACACCACCTTTCCAATGTTAAACACCACTTCCATGGCTTTTAGGAATAGTAGGACTGTTGCCAAACAATTTAGGTAAGGATTGGGGCCAATTTTGATCCCAGGGACCTCAGTCACTAGGCCTTTGATGTCATAATTAAGGAAAGGCAGATATTGGTAGATGCTTTTTGGGTTAGTTTTCACTGGATACCCAGCAGCATATATAAAAACGGCCAAAATAACCAGGAAAATGAATAAAAAGGCCATGTTTATATATTTTTTTTTTTTTCCTCTCTTTGTTCTCAAACAAAACTATATTTATATAAACAATAGGCTCTTGGCAGCTCTCCCGGTAGTGTTCCCAAACAACCGTGGCAAAACCAAAACAAACCGGAGATAACCAGAGAGAAACCGGGCGGAAACACCATATAAGGTGATATGGTTTGAAGCTGGCTCCCCGCCAAGTCTCCAAACCTTACCACCAGAAGTTCCCCCCCCCCCAAAACCAACCTCAGGGAGAAGAGGGAGGAAAAAAAAACTAAGAAAAAAAACCCGAAACGAGAGAGAGACAACCAAAGTGAGATATATAAATATATTTACACTTATATACAATTTCACAAGGGAAAGGGAAGAAGGAAAAGGAAAGGGAACAAAACTAAAATAAAATATATAGATATCCCAAGACCCAATATCTAACAACTAAAAAGTTAGCAAAGAAAAATAGCTCACTACTCCCCTGGGACAACTGAGAGTCGCTCCGGAACGATCGCCGGCAACCTCCGTCTCCCAAGGTCGACAAGGCCCAACCAGGCCTCGCTCCCCAACACGGCAGACTCAACAGCAGGGGACCTGCACCTCCAAGCCGCCGGAAGGAAAAAAAACGAAGGCCTCTCCTCCTCTCTTCTTATAATCTGGCTTACGTAAAAATCGTAGGGAATACTGGGTAAATCTGGACCCTTCCTTGGTTACAAACTGGTCACCAAGGAAGGCCTAGCCCAAACCACCACAGACCCGTAAAAAGAACAATTTCCAATGGGGTCCTGAACAACAACAAGCTTTCAGGCAGATCAAGCAAGAGATTGCACATACCGTGGCTCTTGGAGCAGTCAGGACAGGACCAGATGTAAAGAATGTGCTCTACTCTGCAGCTGGAGATAAAGGTCCCTCCTGGAGCCTCTGGCCAAAGGTGCCTGGTGAGACGTGAGGGTGACCACTGGGTTTCTGGAGCCGAAGCTACAGAGGTTCTGAGGCCAATTCCACCCCTGTGGAGAAGGAAATCTTAGCAGCCTATGAAGGCATACGAGCAGCTTCAGAGGTAATTGGTCCCAAAGCACAGCTCTTCCTGGCACCCCAGATGGGACCCCAGCATGCAAAGTGTAACTGGATAAGGGAAAAAGGGGGTAGGGTTTATCCATTTTAGGGAAAGGCTGGCCAAAAAAGGAAATACTGCAATGCAGCAAACTTTGGCCAATCAGGGAGCGGGGTCTAAGGATACAGACATCAAGGGGATTTTTCATCAAACAATTTCAGGGGACAAACAAGGGAAAAACTACAGTAAATGTTTAGACACAACCGTAAAACTCGAAAGGCTTTGGGTCTGAACTTCTTGACAACTTCATCCAGGGCTTTCATCCTCTGGAGGGTCACACATTTCTTGTTGTCTTCTCCAGCTTTCAGATTCAGCAATGTCCTCACTCCCGACAGACCAGGGTCCCCTTTCCAGAGTAATGGAGGAGCACCGTGATTTTTTAATCCAAAATTCCCGGATTGGAATGAAATGCTCTGGAAAGGCTCTGGAAATCATTCGGGGTTCACAGTGAGTCTCTGGTTTCCCATCCCCTGCTTCAGATGTGAAAACATGTTCCTTGCAGTCGGAATGTAAACTCATCAACTCCATTAAACTTGAGCACTATATCCCATCATCCAGATCATCAATGAAGATGTTCACCAGGAATTGCTGATCACTGGCCTCCAGCTGGATGTTGCACTCCTGATCACCACCCCAGCCAGGAGATTTCAACCAGCCTGCTGTCTGCTCATCCAGCCCATACTTCATGGGCTTCTCTGTGAGGGAGCCCTGTCTGTGTCCACTAGTACACACATTCATTTTGATTTTAAAAAATCAAACAGAAGTGGGAGTTTTAACAGCAGAATTATTTTTCAAAGGGAAATAGAAGGGTAAGAGTTTTTAATTTTAATGATCATGTTTTACATGGTACTAATTGACATCTAGTAGAAATGAGACAGCACCTTAAGAGACAAATCTACATTCTCTATTTATGCCTCTGAATTACAGATATGGCTTTGATGGAACGAGTGCCTTCAAGCTCCATTGGCAGGCACTGTTTGAAAGCTATTTGGGTGATTTTTGATAAGAAATGAAAGATGCAACAGCAGGAAGCCATTCAGCAATCCCTGACAAGGGAGGTCCACTGTCAATTGCTGGGAGGGCCCCCACCTGTTTCTTTTAATGGTGCTCCCAAATCCCACCTCTTGGGCCTCCCATCCCATCCTTTTTGGTCCCCTCAGGCATCTCCTCCCCAGCATCTGCTCTGTGTCCTACCCATGGTCCCCAAATATCCTCCTGTTGATCGTTTCCAAACATCCTCCCACTGATCATTCCCAAAGCTTTTCTTTCCAGACCTTTGCCTTTCACCCAGGCCACTGCCCTGGTACCTCCCAAGTCCATTCCTTGCCTCACTCTCCACTCCCAACCAGCTCCCAGTGCCCTCGTTTTTGTTCTCCTCCATCATCCTCCTCCTGTCCCCACCAAGCCTCTCCCTTGCAGTCCCCACATCCCTACACTTGAATTCCTTTCCCCTCCCCTGCATCCCACACAGGGCCCCTTCAACACCCCAATCCCAGTCCCGTGGGCTCCCCAGTTCCCCCCAGTTCAGCATCTTTGGGTCCCCCCCAACCTCCCCCCACCCTCCCTGCAGGCCCTGAATTCCTCTGGCTCTCCTTGTCTCCATCCCCACCCTGGGCCCTGCAGGCACAGTGGTTGGAGGTGAAACTGGGGGCAGTGGGAGCGGGGGGACATCCCAGTGGACATCCCAGTGACCAGCCAGGGCTCCTGGTCTCTCTCCAGCTGCATTTAGTGGACGTTGGGATCCTGAAGACAGCTCAGGTGGGTACCAGGAGTTCTTCCTGGGTCGGGTCCTCCCCTCACATGGCCATGACACTCCTAAGCCATCCCAGTCTGCCCCAGTATACCCCAGTGCACCTTCCCCAAGGATCCCATTTCTTCCCCCAGGCTCCCAATACATCCCACTGCACCCAGGGTGTCTCTGAGCCTGTCTTTGTCCCCAGCCCCCTGTGGTTGAGAAGGTGGTGGGTCTTGTTGGTGAGAAACGCGTGGCTGCATCCCTGGATGGCTGAGGTGAGCAGTGCCTGCAGGGAGAGGGGTCAGGACAAGGCCCCTTTCATGTTGCAGTGGACTTTGGGGGTGACGTTTGGGGCTCTGTCTTTCAGGACTGGTGGTGACACCCGTGCCCTGTCTCCCTCCAGCAGCGTGAGGAGATGATCATCCCTGAAAGAACCCCCTGATTTCCCTCAGAGCCCAGGGGCATTTCTCCTGAATGATCAATAAATCCCTTCAGCAAAGCTACTCTGCTTGATCTTGTGTGTGTGTTCCCATCTCCATGGGTGTGTTCCCATAGAATCACCACTTCCCTGGGCAGCCCATTCCAATGGCTGATTACCCTCTTTGTAAAGAAATTCTTTCTAATATCCAACCTAAACCTCCCCTGGCACAGCTTAAGGCCCAGCCCTCTTGTCTTGCTGATGGTTGCCTGGGAAAAGAGACTAACCTCCACCTGGCTACAACCTCCTGTCAGGGAGTTGCAGAGAGTGAGGAGGTCTCCCCTGAGCCTCCTCTTCTCCAGGCTGAACAGGCCCAGCTCCCTCAGCCTCTCCTCACAGGACTTGTGCTTGAGTCCCTATCCCAGCCTTGTTGCTCTCCTCTGGACCTGCTCCAGGACCTCAATATCCTCCTGATCTGAGGGGCCCAGAACTGGACACAGCACTCCAGGGGTGGCCTCACCAGCGCTGAGTCCAGGGGAAGAATCACTTCCTTGGGCCTGTTGGCCACACTGTTCCTGAGCCAGGCCAGGATGCCATTGGCCTTCTTGGCCACCTGGGCACACTCTGGCTCATATTCAGCTTCTTGTCCATCCAAACCCCCAGGTCCCTCTCTGTCTGGCTGCTCTCCAGCCACTCTGTCCCCAGCCCAGGGGGCTGCAGGGGGTTGTTGTGGCCAAAGGGCAGGACCCGGCACTTGGCCTGGTTGAACCTCATCCCGCTGGAATCAGCCCAACTCCCCAGCCTATCCAGGTCCCTCTGCAGAGCCCTCCTGCCTTCCAGCTGATCGACACTCCCCCCCAGCTTGGTGTCATCTGCAAACTTGCTGATGATGGACTCAATCCCCTCATCTCATCATGGCCAGTCTTCACGAATGAAGATTTGGGAAAGGTCTCCACCCACATTTGTTACAAGCACACTGGTGATACTTTGCAAATGCGGGTAAGGCCTTCGAGCCTGCGCAATGGATATTTTAGGTGAGACACAGTGTGCGCTGAACTGAGCCCACCCTTTAATCCTGAGGTTCATCTGCCGGGGCCGAGCGAGCTTGGACGGTGGCAGCGAGGTCCTCAGGACGTAGGTTTGTTTAGAGTGACCTTCTCTTAGATGGATGGCCTTACAGGGCTGAACGAGCTCCATCTGCCCGGGTTTAGAGTTGTCCTTCTGTGTGTTCCGGGGCTCCCCTCTCATCTCCCACAATGGCACTGTCCGCACAGGCGAAGCTCCCATTCTCTCTCTCCTTTCTGCGTGCTGGGGCCAGGCCCCAGTGCCCGGGGCTGGGCCGCGCCGTCACGCACGCGCCTGGGCCCAACCCGGGCCTGTGCCCATCCCCTCATCTAATTCATCAATAAAGATATTAAACAGAACTGGGCCCGACACTGATCCCTGGGGACACCACTACTGACCGTATACCAACGGGATGCAGCTCCATCCCCACCACTCTCTGGGCCCAGCCCTCCAGCCAGTTCCTGACCCAGCACAGGGTGCCCCTGTCCAAGCTGTGGCTGCAGCTTTTTCAGGAGAATGCTGTGGGAGATGGTGTCCAAGGCCTTGCTGAAGTCCAGACAGACACATTCACAGCCTTCCCCTCATCCACCAAGCGAGTCACTTGATCAGAAAAGGAGATCAGGTTGGTCAGACAGGACCTGCCCCTCCTAAACCCATGCTGGCTGGGTCTGATCCCTTGTCCATCCTGTAGGTGCTGTGGGACTGCACTGAGGATGATCTGCTCCATAACCTTGCCAGGCACTGAGGTCAGGCTGAGGGGCCTGGAGTTTCCTGGGTCCTCTTTCTGGCCCTTTTTGTGGATTGGCGTGACATCTGCCAACTTCCAATCATCTGGGACCTCCCCAGTGAGCCAGGACTGTCGGTAGATGATGGAGAGAGGCCTGGTGAGCTCTTCCACCAGCTCCTCATCACCCTTGGGTGGACCCCCTCTGGTCCCATAGACTCGTGGGGATCCAAGCAGCTCAGTAGGTCACTGACTGTTTCCTTCTGGATTACAGGGGGGCTGTTCAGATTCTTGTCTCTTTCTACAAGCTCCAGAAGCCAGCTGTCCTCAGGACAACCTGTCTTACTGTTGAAAATGGAGACAAAGAAGGTGTTAAATACCTCAGCCTTTTCCTCATCTTTGATAACTATATTCCCGCCCATGTCCAGTAAAGAGTGGAGGTTTTCCTTGCCCCTCCTTTTGCTATTGATGTACCTGTAGAAGGACTTTTTGTTATCCTTCACAGAGGTGGTGAGATTCAGTTCAAGTTCTGCCTTTGTCTCTCTAATTTTCTTTCCACATGACCTAACTATATTTCTACATGAGTAGACAGTCCTTTTTTTCAGAATCGAATCAAATTTATTGAGAACAACAAGGGCTTTTATGTGCAGGGCAACCCGTGACACGTCATAACATGTGACCTTCTCAACCAATCACATTCGAGCACTCCATTGAGCATGCGCAATAGAGTACCCGGGGACTACAAGCCCCAGAATGCCTTTCGGTTCTGTTCCTCTAACATTAAACCGCCACAGGCAGAGATTTTCTGAAGGTTGGGGACATTCCCCACTCACAGTAGGGGAAACACCACTGGTGATTTCAGATTATCCTACTCCCCTTTCTCCATGGAAGGCTAAGGTCCTTCTTGTCTTCTCTCTCCTGGCAGGATTGCCGTGAGGAAGAACATTCCCTGTTAGCTGCTTAAAGAAGTTCACAGTGTGGACACAAGCAGGGGCATGAATATATTTATATTTCCTAAATGTGCTCTGTGCTGTGTAAAGGGAACAATGACACTCGTGCTTGCAGAACCCCTCTGCCTGCACAGGGGAGGTGCTCCCCACACGGGGCTGCTTTCCCAGTTGTAAGGAAAGACAGACAAGAAAGGCAGAGGAGAGTGACGTGCCAGAGAGACGCATTTGCAATGGCCCTGACCAAGGCAGGTGAGACGAATGTCACCGTGATGGGGGGGTTGTTCCTGGAGTCACAGCCAGAAAAGCCAGGGCTCTGTCAGGTGTCCACACCCTGCTCACACTCCAGGGGTGTTCAGAGACACGAGTCCTTCCCTTGCACACACACAGAGTTCATGGCAGCAGGGGCAGGGTCTCCCTGGCTCCTGCTGCTGCTCCCAGGGGCTGGAGCCACCTCAGCCCTGCGGGGTGTCACCTGCTCTGCCCTGTCTGAGATGCCCCACGGCCTGAGGGATGGACACGGGGATGTGCACAGAAGCACATCCCGAGGCTGCATTTGGGGGATTTCCCAGGGAATGTTACTCTCACAGTGAAGTGACCTCCTGACACTGCCCATCCTCTGGATTTATGGCACCCCAGGCACAGCTGGTGGTGTTTGTGCTCACTCAGGTTCATCCCTACACACACACGTGGTGCTCATGCAGGAGTTTCTCACTACCATGCAAACCTGGACTTCTGACCTGGTCCATTGATGTCTCCTGTGGAAAGAAAAAACAGCCTCTTGCAGGTGCTGGGAATGGGGATTGCAGGGGCTGCCCTGTGACACCTTCCCAGGCTGTCCATGGAGCAAAGGCACAGCCCAGCACTCTGCTGGTGCCTCAGGTCTGTGCCAGGAGCTCTGGCTGGGCAAGGACACTGCTGCGTGCCCCCACCCTGCACACTCCCACCCTCAGCTGGGCACTGGCATTTGCTTTGCCAGGGCATTCCTGGAGCACATTCCTGACAGTGACTGTGGAGGAAGAGCAAAGCCTTCATGCCCTGCCCTCAGGACATGCCCTTTGCTGATGGAGCTGCTGGTGTGGAGCACAGCTCTGTGCCAGCAGTGCCAGGGCCTGTCCCTGCCTGTGATCCCAGCACGGACACGCAGCAGGACTGTGACCAAGCTGCCGGAGCACTCAGGCCTTGCACCCACAGCAGGGCTGGCAAGGAGAATGTGGAGCTGCAAAGAGCAGCTGTGGAAAGAGCAGGAGCCCTTGGCCCTGGCCCTGCTGCTGGGCTGGGAATCTCTTCCCTCCTCCTCTGCACAAAGGCACTGCCCCTGCAGCTCCAGAGAAGGGCTGAGGAAGCATCTTGGACACACAAGTCAGTGCAGGGCACTTGATTTTCTTGAAATACACAGTGATCGTGGCACCTCAGTGTGTCTGTGCACAGCAATGGTAGGTACTGGTGTAGCAATAGATGACTAATGACATTCCTTTATGGAAAACAGTAACACAAGTGAAGAAAAAAAAGGAATGCAAATATAAAATACACCAATACAAGAACAAAATGGACACGTGGCACAAAGCAGTCTGACATCCTGGGTGCTATGAAGAAGAAAAAAGGCACTTCAATGCTTCTGAAAAGCATCCAGTCATTTTCCTCCAGGCACCCTTGAGGTCCTGGTTCCTCCTGGGGGGGTTCAGTGCTGGAGGCACCACCAAGTCCAGAACTGACCTCAGCAGTTCCAGCAGCAGGGAGGAGATGGAGGGGGGCTTCAGGTGGGCAAACCTGACAGTGCTGACAAACAGGGAGACCACAGCCAGGGGAGGCAGGCCCGTGGAAAAGGCTCTAAAAAACCCTCCCCGAAGTTCACTCCCTCTGCTCTCTGCACTTTGGGGTTCTGGGGGTCCCCCCGTTCAGGCTCTTGGAGGTCCCTCGTGTTTTGGGGGCCCCCTCTCCGGGGTTCTGCCTTTTCCCGGCTGCTGGAGATGCCGGGAATCCCAGGGGTCTCCCCTCTCGGAGCCCCCTCTTCCAGGAGCCGGGGGTCCCCGGCCCCCCCACCCCTCTGGGCTCCCCCTCTCCGCGCTTCCCCTCCCGCCCCCCCAGGCTGCCGGGGGTCCCCCAGCTCCGCTGTCGCCCCTCTCTGCTCTCCCCACTCCGGGGGCCCTAAAAAAGGGGCTCGTCGCGTCCCCCCCCGCCGGCACCGGGCTGACAATGGGGGCGGCGGGGCCTGACCCCGCAACACCGACCCCCACCGCGGGGGGGTCCCCGCATCCCCCCGCCCACCTCCCGCCTCTGCCGGGAACCCACCCCGGGATCCCCCCCAACAAAACACCAACGGACCCACCAGTAAGGGAAGCCCTGCAA